TCTCAATTCCAGGTAAATATTGATAAAATGTATAGATATTTCTATACAAGTTAAAGAAGTTAAAAATTCGTAACAAACATTTAAATTAACAAATAAATATTTTTCTATTTCTAAATAAGTAAAAATTGATTAATATTAATATTATGCATATATCAGTGAGTTTTGTTGATATTTTTCATATTTTGTCCTTTTTTTTTTTWACATGATGGAATAGAAAACGTCGATTTATCGAATCCATAGATACATGAAAATGTTGACATGTCGATGAATATTTAATACTATAAATATAACTAATTATTAAAACATTTGAAATCTCTCTTTCCTACAATTTTCAAATCTTCTTCCACAATTGTCATATTATATTCGTTGGGGGAAAAAAAGATAAATAAAATTTAACTCACTTAGGTAATTTTTTTTTTTCTTTCTTGAGAAAAGTCTGATTAATCCTTACGTTTTGTTTTCCATTATTTTCAAAATCAATTACAAAATGTAACTAAATCTCTCTATTATTTCTCTCATTCTGTTCAAACATAAAACAAGATTGTTTTGATACAATGTTAAACATGATTAAATCATCAATAAATCCAAAAATTTAAGTTAATAAGTCAGAGTAAATTTAATCATTTATAATATACCCAACACAACCGGAACATTTGCTATTCCTATTTAATTTAAAGAAGAATTCATTCTAGATTTCTTCTTAAACTTGAACCGAAGCAATTTGATGATTGCCTCGGCAACCCGAGGGTGTAGTACGAGTGTTTCTTAGAGAAGAAGGTATACACTAAAAGAGGTAAAAGAGGGAGAAAAAGTTGTTGTCAATTGCTACAACTTTCAAAGGGATTCTCTCTGTTACTTACAAACAAAGAGGGACAGAGTTGACAAATGGGCAAAACTTGGTATGCAAATACAGACAAACACAAAAAGAAGAAGAAGAAGAAAAAAATGGAAACTTTAATTTATTCGGATTCATAAGGTTGGCGAGAGAGCGATGGGGATGGAGAAGCGGCGAACGCAGTGCTCAAAACTTATTAACTTTGATGTCATCTTCACCATGCAGAATCCCACTTCCAATTCTCAACTCTACCTTTTATTTTCTAACCCTTCCCCTCCCCATATTGGTACGTTTTAAACGTTTCAATTTAGTCCCTCGTGTCTTAACATTTTTCAAGTATATCCTTCTCGTAAGTGCATGGTGAAACCGGCTGGTTGATGATATCGCTGGTAAGTTGGTAAAAAGTTTGAAGAGGAAATCAGGATAACCTGTCATAAGTAGAATGTCGACTTTTCTTCTTTTAGAAAATAAGAAACTCTTCTGACATGTGATTAAACTTGTCATCAACCTATTTTAGCATTCACGGGCAATATAATCACACACGGTAGAAAAAGGGGTGATGGAATTAGAAGACATTAATATGATCGCTTGAGCTACAATTTTGTTGCCAACTCGAGCATAAATGGTTAAGGCGTACCTATATAAAAATATATCTGAAGGTTATATCGTCCTTTCAAAAGTTTCAATACGACGTTTGACATTTCATTAACATTTTAAAAATATTATTTAAGCAAATATCCGTAAATATTTAAAACGAAAAGTTAACGTAGCAAAATTTAGAATGATAAACGTGACAATTAACGCGGAAGTTTGTTTGGATTAAGTAAAGAGAAAATGTCAAAGAAGCTATAGTTTTTAAAAGGAAGATTATGGCAAAAATGAGTTTACAATAGAGGAAGTAGACTTTTAGGGCAAAAATAAATCGGAAAAGATAAGAGAACGGAAAAAGAAACATCGACGTTAGTTAATTGTGATCACGTCATTTTAAATTCTACGGTATATCAACTATCCATTCATAATATCAACGTACGTTTTCTTGAAGTTTTGTTGAGGAGTTTGTAGTAAGAAAGAGAAACCAAAACCAAGCCCAAGCATAGGCATGTGAATTCATGAGCTGCTCTGTCAAATCAGCAATTTGATGATAATAATGTGGTACAATATAAAACCCCTCTTTCCTTTCTCTTCCATCAATTCTTCTCATGTTTCTCATCTTATACGTTTCAATTACGTCAATAATACACTACTGTAACTCTCTCGTCCATAGTCTAATCGAAGACTGTTAAAACACTCAAGGATCTATTTGGTAACGTTTCTGTTTCTTGTTTATGTTTTCTCCTGTTAAATAAAAAAAATAGAATTACTTGACCTCCAACACCCATTAATTCAACAATGATAAAACAAGAAAATAAGAAACTTTTTTTTATACAATTTTGAGAATATTTCAGTTATTGTGGTAAGCTGATGAAACGAATGTTGATGGTGTTTTTTTCCTTCTCAATTTGTGAGAGAAAAATAGTTGGAGTCCTAGAGAAAATAAAAGATATTTAAATAGGATAACATCAAAGTATTTTGGTCCCTAAATATTAAACATTTTGTTTTAATGTCTATAAATCTTGCATAAAAAATCATGTTGTTAGTCATTCCCATTAATTTTTTAAAAAATAAAAACTTGACTTAGGCTTTTCTTTCGTTCATTTATCCGATCAATAAATGTTTACAGGTATAAATATTTGAAAGTATAATATAGCCAAACAAGTGTTGGGTTTTCAAATAGATTTGAATATAAGGACCAAAATAAAAATAAGATCGTATAAAACTAAATAAGATATAAACTGAGGTTTATAATTCAACGAGTAAAAACAATAAAATATAAAAAGAAAGAATCTCATTTTTGACAAAGTAGAAGAAGATAAAAGCAAACCCTAAAGAATGGAAAGCCATTTCATTCTAGCTAGGATGCTCAGAAAATGCAGAGTAAGTTAAAAACAAAAGAAGAATTTTTTTATTTTTTTATTTATTTTTATTTTTTTGAACATTGAATTAAAATTTCAAACCAAAAAGGAAAAAAAAATGTTGCTGTTGGACTGTCCTTGAAAATATGATATGTCTCTCTCACGGCTCCTTCCACTTCCTGCATTATGAACAAAACTTTACAGCCTTTCTTTTCTTCTGCTCAGTTTTTTCACATCTTCAACTTCACTTCCAAATACTCTTCCCAGTATCATTATTTTTTACAACTATACCGACCAAAACAGGCATTTTGAAACTACGACTAAAATAGACGGAAGTTAGATAGTTTAAAGACCAAAATGAACGTTTTGACGGTACAGAGACGAGCTAGGTGGCTTTTTTTTGGTCTTCTTTTTGTAATAGTACTCTCATTAAACTACRTGAAACAGGGGCTGTACTGCCCACCTGCCCTCCTGAATTATGCAGATTTAATTCAGGGTACCAAAGAAGTTCATGTTATAAATTTCACTCGTACCTGTAACAAGTAAAGTGATGATTATGTCTTTGTAAACACGTGTTACGAGTCGTAGATTCATATGCTTAAACATATTTCTGATTTGCAAAACTCAAACTATATCGACCAAGAAGAGGAGGGGTTTTAGTAGAATCTCATATTTTCGAGTTTTAAGATGAAGTTGTAGCTCCAAGGGGCAATCCAATTGGTAGGACTTGGAGTCTCTTGACCACACTGGTTTAAAGGTCTCAAGTTTGAGTCTCCTTGTGAGATTAATACCAAAAAATCTCGATGTCTCTCGAGTTCTGACTTTGGGACGATTGCGAGTGCCCCTAGAGTATAGGGGAGCAAAGTCCCGACTCCCGATTATAAAACAAAAGATGAAGAAGTTGTAAAAAAATTTCTAAAAGAAGCTAGGGAGAGTGGTAAGATGTGATGTAGAAGTATTAATCCACA